TGTGTGTTGGTTCTGCTCGTCCCTGTCCTGTGGGCTGCAGCTCCTGGGTCTGGGCCTCTGACCGACCCGCTGTGTGTTTGTAGAACCACGAAGCGCTGCAGCTGCAGGAAGTTCTGCGTTCAGAGGAACTGTTCGGGTGTTTCCAGTTTTCTGAATGTTAACGTGTTCTCTGCCTCTCTTCCTTCATTTCAAACCTCCCCTCCCTCCGTCTCCTGGTTTTTGTTCTTTATCGATGAACTTTGATTTATTTTGGTCACTTTTCTTTCATCTTCTTTATCTCAACCACGTTCTTCTTCCCATCTTCACAACCATTTATGTTTCTCCACTAAAACTCCTCATCTTCATCACCTCCTCACCAAACCTCCTTCCCCCTTCCTCATCTGTGTCCACTTTCTTTCCTTCTCCTCACTCATTGTCACCTGAACCCCCTCCCCCTCCACCAGCCAAGACTCAGGACGGCGTCGCTCTGGAGATCCAGCCGCTGAAGAGCGAGGAGGCCGCCGAGCTGGAGGAAAAGGAGGAGGTGAAACAGGTGAAGAAGGTCAACGTCACCAAGAAGGAGAAGTCTGTGCTGCAGGGCAAACTGACCCGGCTCGCTGTGCAGATCGGAAAGGCTGGTGAGAAACGCACACGGTCCGTTACATGATCGCCCACCTCCATCAAAGGTGGGAGATAAACAGCTGTTTGTATCCAGAAATGTGGAACTGTTCCTTTAAATTCAGAGCGATCGGGAGGCGACGGGACGGAGAGCCCGCGGGTCAAAATGCACTTTGATTGATTAGATGGATGTTTTTTATTGGAAACGTGATTCATCCTGGAACTGAAGGTTTTTGTCATTTCAATTGACCCTAATGCACTCTGGGATTTCAGGACAGTAAGTGGGCGTGGCCTCAGAAATAACCAGGCTCAGTGGATGTACTTTATTTAGAGGAAGCATGAAAGAGGCCGTATGGGTGACTTGTTCTGATCCAGCTGTTCCTTTCTAACACTTCTGATCGACTTTGAGATGATTTTAAGTGATTAGGATCAAACATCAGCGCAGGACGGATTTGTTCTTTAGTTTTTCTTTGTGTGTGTATCTGAAAGGAGACATCGTTTGTTTCCTCAGGTCTGTTTATGTCCACTCTCACCGTCATCATCCTCATCCTCTACTTTGTGATCGACACCTTTGGAGTCCAGGGGCGCACCTGGGTGGCAGAGTGCACGCCGATATACATTCAATATTTTGTAAAGTTCTTTATAATCGGTGTGACGGTGCTGGTGGTGGCCGTTCCTGAGGGGCTGCCTCTGGCTGTCACCATCTCTCTGGCCTATTCTGTCAAGGTACGGAGAGTCGAAAGGTCTCGCTGCCTCTCACTTTGCTCAGAATCTGCACCCGTGATGTCCGGCTCCGATTACTGCAGCCTGCTTTTGTGTTGTAGAAAATGATGAAAGACAATAACTTGGTGCGTCACCTGGATGCATGTGAGACCATGGGCAACGCCACGGCCATCTGCTCAGACAAGACCGGCACGCTGACCATGAACCGGATGACGGTGGTGCAGGCGTATATCGGAGACGCACACTACAAGAGCATCCCCGAACCCGATGTCCTCACCCCAGGAACAGTGGACGTGTTGATTAACAGCATCTCCGTCAATTCAGCCTACACCACCAAGATTCTGGTAAGACCTTCAGTTTCCTGCGGGGCGGGCCCTTTGGACTGACCGTTTTAAAAACAAATGTGTGTAAACGCAGAATAAAACACCACCCTACTTCAAACGAGGATCTGTTTGTGGTTTTCCTCTGTAAGGACGTGAAGCTGACGCAGATCTTTTTACTCGTGTCTTCACAGCCTCCTGAGAAAGAAGGCGGCCTCCCTCGCCATGTTGGCAACAAGACCGAGTGTGCTCTGCTGGGCCTGGTTCTGGACCTGAAGAGAGACTACCAGCCGATCAGAGAGGAAATCCCTGAAGAGAAACTCTACAAGGTTTATACATTCAACTCCTCCCGCAAGTCCATGAGCACCGTGTTGAAGAACGCTGATGGAGGCTTCCGCATGTACAGCAAGGGCGCGTCCGAGATCGTCCTGAGAAAGTAAGAAAACGGATTCAGTGAGTTTCTCTGTGTTTTAGACAGACATGAACGTCCTGCCTGTCGGACAGAGATTTAACACCCCCACCCCCTTGCTTTGTTCTTCTGCTAGATGCTCCCGTATCTTAGATGCTCAGGGCCAGCCCCGGATCTTCAAACCTAAGGACCGTGACGAAATGGTGCGTAAGGTGATCGAACCAATGGCGTGTGACGGGCTGAGGACCATCTGCGTGGCTTTCAGGGACTTTCCTGCCGAAGCTGGAGAGCCGAACTGGGACAAAGAGAACGAAATCCTCAGTGATCTCACCTGCATCGCTGTGGTGGGCATCGAGGATCCGGTCAGACCTGAGGTACGCTTCCGGTCTTTGACTCCTCGTGTTGGCTTAAATCTGCATCTGAAACTTTAGACATCTTTGTTTCAAACTCTGGCAACGCGTTATGTTACAGGTAACGTTTTTAAATAAAAACATCATCCAGTTTTTGTACAGCCTTAGCCTTGTTAGAGTCATGGAGAGTTGGAGCAACAAACAAACAAACCCAAGCACAGAATCTTTATTTTTTAATTTATTTTTTAATGGATTCAACTTTATTTTCATTACGCTTGCACAAGTACAAGACAATAAAATGCAGTTTGCCATCTTACCAGTAGTGCAATAAACAGCAAGTGCAAAATATTCATTATTGTATTACTATGCAGTGAACATGATATACAGATCTGTGGGTGAGGTAGATGGTATAAGAATGCACATGTTCTACAGACCTGTACAGGAGTCCCTCGCTACTTCGCGGTTTTTCAAAATAAGATTGGACATGACACATAATGGCTGATTGATGGATGAGCCCCATGATCGGGATGAAATTTTTATTTAAAACAAATGATTTAAAATTATTTAACACCTGCTGCACCTTTGTGCAGCCCACACTGCAGGATAAGCTTCCTGCTTCAGCTGATCAGCTGTTCTCGTGCAGAGCGGAGAAGTGGGCATACATAAAAGCCAATTAGTAAAGTTCTCAATCTAAGGAGGCAGCAGACAGAGTCTTGGCTTCGTTCATGGTTGTTGCTGATGAGGCCGGTCACCGTGGTGTCATCAGTCACAGGCCTGCCGTCTGTCTTCACCATAACATGCATCGTTTTGGACTGTGGAAGAAAACCAGAGCACCAGGAGAAACAAACATTAGCAGACAGACTCCACACAGAAAGACCCAGCTGAAAACCTTCCAGCTGAGAGGAGACGGCACTAAACTCTGCAGCCCACCTGGACTGGTTTTAAATACTGATGGGTAAAGTTTATCAGTTTCATTAACTATAAATTTAAACTGACTCCAACTGTTAAAGTTGCAGTAAAACTTAGGCTCTTATGAAGAAGAGCTTGTGACGAAGAGCAGGAAGATCCTGCAGCTTTACATTCAGACTTCAGTCCAGTTTCATTAGTTTTTAGTTTCGGGTCGTCGTCTGCAGCTTGTTTTTGATCTAAACACGAGTTTGGCTTAAAGATGATGAAGCTAAGACCCTTCTGTTAATCATCTTAAAGTTTGCTGATGTTATGAGAAAATGTGTTGTTGATGAATAAACACGTTAATGTAAAACTGAGTTCTGTTCTGGCCCGGTTTGCAGCACAGATGAACTCTAAATGAAGCTCTGAAAGCATCAGTGATGCTGCCTGCTGCTTTAATGTCAGAGCACAAAGGTCACTGACAGGATGGAAACATCATGAGAGCAGCAGGAGTTCATCAGCTGCTCACTGGATGCCTCCTTACAACCTGCATGATGGACTCTGCTAAAGGTCCAGACCATCTGCAGCTAGACCGATCCAGCTGGGCTTCCAACACCTGAAGATTCAGACACATTGGGCATGTGTTGTGGACTTCAAGGAGGAAGTTTTTCTTCAGAATCACTTCAGTAACATAAAACCAGCCAATAAAATTTACAGTCTGTAACATTCAGTGTTTGTTCTGCAGGATTTAATGTTCAAAAACGGCTTAAAGCTAAAAAGTCTTTCCTTCCCTCAAAGATTTTATGTTCTTCTAATCCTGCAGGTACCTGAGGCTATAGCTAAATGCCAGCGTGCAGGAATCACTGTCCGTATGGTGACTGGGGACAACATCAACACGGCCCGCTCCATCGCAACCAAGTGTGGCATCCTGCTTCCTGGGGAGGACTTCCTGTGCCTGGAGGGCAAGGAGTTCAACCAGCAGATCAGAAACGACAAGGGAGAGGTGAGACGAGTTTAACGCTCGTAATAAAGTGGACGGGTCTGGTGGTTCACACTTTATTTAGTGTGCTCCTTTAACTTCACTGCAGCCAGCAGCTGCACGCTTCTTTTGACCCATTTCCATCAAGTGCTGGTTCTGGTGTCGGGTCTGGAGCTGGTTTGAATTGGCTCTTCTTCCAAAACGTGTTTGTTGATCCTCTGATGGATCCATGTTTCATCATCACTGTGAAGTTCTGCTCCTCTGTGCTGTGGCCCGTTCCATCAATAGTTCCTCTACATGTTCCTGTGGGAACCGTCTGCGGTTCTGATCCAAACGACATTCATAAAAGTTGGACTTTAAATTCATCCCAGCTCAAAAGAACTCTGCCGCTTTAACTTCAGGCTCAGAGTTTTAGTTCTGCTGTTTTTTGTCACAGGAGAAATCCTTGGATCCGTACCAGAACTGTTGGTTCTACTCTGGAGCCAAGATTTTTGACCAACAGCTGCTCTGTCAACATGTTCAGAACCGGTTCTGGTTCAGAAACCGACCAATAACCTGTTCCTGCGCTGGTTCTAGGGATGTTCATATTTTGAATCTTCAGTCAGTCGATGAATTAAGGTTTATTAGTTCAACGCTACAACCCAGTCACTGGGATATAGAACCACAGAACCTCTCACAGAACCAGAACCAATGTGCAGTCTAACTGCACGTCAGAGTGAGAATAAAAACTAAAACAAGTTTAGAGCGCCAAGAAAATCCTCCTGACCAAATGAACAACCAAAAGCATAAAACCACCAGAACACCCGGTTCAACTCACCAGAACCGTGTTCAGATGTTCTGTGTAATGGACCTATGATCAGCCACGGAACTGATCCACGAGCGCCACGAGCTAAACTCCTCGTGAGTTGGATGCAAACGGTTAAAAAAAAATTAAAATGATACTCGATAGTTGAGATGAACCATTTAGGATGCAACCCGTGATTTATCAAATGTACTCTGCACGTGGCCTGGTTCTGGTTCTGATCCTACATTAGATTCATATCAGAGTTTAAAAAAGTCAACATCAGCAAGTTCTGTTAAATCTACTCACAAAATATTAATATGTTAATGTTGACTATTCATTAGCTTTGAGACTTTTTACTGTTGAGGAATAAAATGCTCAAAGTTTTCATTAAAAGTGAAAGTTTACCTTTAACCAACACTGGTCATAATTTATTGTATGATTTTTACTTCCTGTCAAGCTGATGTTGTTTTATGAACCTCCTGCTCTGAATATGAAGAGCTCCACAGAAGCGTGGTCCATTTGCTATTTATAACTGTCCTTCTTTGTAAAGACATAATTGCTCCGTGTCCAATTATAAAAGCTGCTCGTTCATGTTGAAACTAATGATTTAGAAGTTTAATCAGTGTTGGACCGAGGTCGGCCTGCAGCAGGAGGAACTCTGTCCTGTGATTACAAATATTCATCAAACTGGAAGCACAAATATTCTGCTCTGTATTTCTAGGTGGAACAAGAGCGTCTGGACAAGGTTTGGCCCAAACTGCGTGTTCTGGCCCGTTCATCACCGACAGACAAACACACTCTGGTCAAAGGTGAGCTCCTCCTGAGAGCCTCTGATGTTCTGCTGCTGTAAACCAGATGTTCCGTGGCTCCATCAGTGCAGTAAAAAGACCTTCTTCTGTTTATCAAACGCTTCCTGAGCTGTTTGTGTTCCGCTCCATCAGGCATCATTGACAGCACGGTGGGAGAAACCCGACAGGTGGTGGCAGTGACTGGAGACGGTACCAACGACGGACCCGCCCTCAAGAAGGCCGACGTGGGCTTTGCCATGGTAACCGCTTCTTTTCCTCTGCTTCCTTTAATCCTCCGCTCATCACGGCGTCACACATCGGCTGTCTCGGTGTTCTCTGCTTCATTACCAAAACCAGAACATTTAAAGAGTTAATTACATTTTTAACGCAGCCATGAAACATCATCCATTCAAACTCTGCCGTTGAATGCCACGAATTCATGGAGGCTGCTGTGAAATTGAATTATAAATCAGTGACACTAAGCTTGGGTGTGTTCTGCTCCACAGGACTTTATTTAGCTCAGATCATCACACACAAACTGTCTTTATCTCACACTGATTACTCTTTGAGTTGTGATCAGTGACAGACTGAAGCCTGAAGTTTCTCTGCAGTTTGTAAACTGATCGGTTGATGATGATGATGATGATGCGTTTAGAAGAGGAAGGCTTTGCTGTGAGGTGATTCTCTCAGGTGACCACGGAGCAGGAAGATCAGCTGATGTGATCTCACAGAGCAGATGTGTGTGAGCTCTTCAGCTCTGTGTGGTTCTGACCTTTAGTTGGTGAGGAAAGTGGTGAGCGGCAGCGTCTCCTGCAGGCTGTCAGACGCCTCACGTTCCCGCTCTCATCACAGCAGAGACGTTTGGTTGCTGTGAACCCTCGTCCTGAATATTTTCGGTGTCCCTGTTCTCGTCTCTCTTGGTTTTTATAATCAGTTTAGGAGGTTCGAAGAGACTCGGCAGCTCACGTCACAGCCTCGTTACCGTTCCTCTAAGCTCCGACTGGATTCTCCTGCTTATTTTACCGCTGAGTAAAAATGCGATACATGTTCAAAGCTTTGCACGCTGTAGCTGCAATATGCTCGAGGGTTTAGACTTGCATCTCTCCAGGGTCCTGATGAGGACGACGTGACGGAACGAACCATGTGCCCTCGTTCTTTTCTCTCTGCTCATGTTCGTTAGCACTGCTGTGAGGTGGGACAGGAAGCAGAAACATCTCAGCTTCTCTGCTGCAGCTCCACACCTCCTCAGGCCACACTGAGATTAACGTTTTAACAGGTGGTTTGTAACCTGGTTAGATCGCCATGGTAACTCATTTAACCTGCTGTGCAGGAGGAGGAGGATCATCTTGTTTCAGTTCATGTATGTGAACTTAAAGGAGCTGTTGTCACTAAAGTTTTTCAGGCTGTTCCTACTGATTTGGAGAAGGAATTCATCTGTAAATGTTTTACTGAGGAATCTTTTGTTTATTTATGACAGAATTAACTTTTTCTGTTTTTGCTGTGAATGTTCTGTAATCTCTGGGTGCTGCTGCCAGTTTTGGCCAGGATTCTCTTGCAAAAGAGATTTTTAATCTCATTGGGATTTTCCTGGTGAAATAAAAGGTTAAATTAAAAAAATAGTTTTTCTGCTGAGGGCTTCCTGTGCAAAATACTTAAGCACGTTTCTAAAGAGCTTTTGACCTGTTGGGCTCTTTAATGCCATGTCCACACATCCATCCTCCACCCCCTGTTCAGGGCCTGGTGCTCATTTCCAGTAGGTGAGCGATGGAGGTACACCTGGCCAGGTCATCTGTCCACTGCTCCACTGTGCAGCCCTCAGTAAATCTTGAGGCTCAATGTCAAAGAGTTCAAAGAAATATAAAAGTTTGGGTCCATTCATGGGATTTATCACACATTAGCGGTCAGATAAATGTAGAATAACTAACAGCTGAACTCCTTCTGGAATCATCAGAATCAAGTCGACCTCTACTGTCATTGCACAGAAGCACAACGAAATTACATTTCAGTACAGCGGTCCAAAAAAAACAACATGGGTAGACGGAGATGACTGAGGCTGCAGCCTCATGTGAAGCGCTGCCCTTTTCATTTAGATAAGGAAAAGGAAAAACATGAGGGAAAGGGAGGTATAAAATAATCATATCTCACACTGTGTCCACACAGTATGAGGCTGGAAAAAAAACCTCGGCACAAGAAAAAGCAACATTCTGGTGACGTAAAGGAAAAGGTCCACAGGACAAAGAGCAGAGCAGGAGGGAAAAGTGTCCGCCTTTGCCGAGAGCAAGAAGGAAAGAAAAAAAAAATCATGATCATTTCTCTGTTTCCTTTCAGGGAATCGCCGGCACAGACGTGGCAAAAGAAGCTTCTGACATCATCCTCACTGATGATAACTTCACCAGCATCGTTAAAGCCGTCATGTGGGGCAGGAACGTTTACGACAGCATCTCCAAGTTCCTGCAGTTCCAGCTGACCGTCAACGTGGTGGCTGTGATCGTGGCGTTCACCGGCGCCTGCATCACACAGGTAAACAAATGACCCGTTCTAACCAGTTCACGCTGGTTCGAGCAGAGGCTCATGGGAACGTTGACTCTCCAACGGAAGATGTTTCCATGCTGCATCGCTTTATTAAAGGTTTTCTTTTATATTTGTGTGGAAGCAAAGCTTCTCCTTCAGCTGACAAACCTTCAGAATGAAGCAGGATGTAACGAGAGGCTCCAAGTTCTGAATTAAAATCAGACGTGTCCGATGGATCAGGACCGACACCCCCTCACACCTGCAGTTCAGGTGTTTGCTTGGTAACAGCCTTAACTGGTCATAAAAACATCAAATGAACTCTGCAGTTAACTAGGTTTTATTGTCTGTTCTCAAACCGTAAATTAATTGATTATTTTTTTATTTTTGTAAAATCTGAGACTATTCAATTTTACGTACCGTAGTTTCTGGACCATAAGCTGCAACTTTTTTCACAGGCTTTGAACATCGCGGCGTATACAAAGCAGCAGCTAATTCATGGGTTTGTTTTTCATGGGCTAACGATCTTCATGCCGCCAAAACATTTGGCCTCGTCACACCTGGGCGCTCACAGAGCTGCCCAATGGGGGCGGGGGGGTCCTCATGACTTAATGAGACTACCTGTATAAATAATAATTAAAGGTTAAAAAAACAAGACCATTGAAATTACCGAACATGTCACAGTGGACCAATGAAACGGGGAGGAGAAAGGAGGAGAGAATGGGGAGGGGGGGACAGTCTCCCCCCCCCCCCCTCCCTTTTGGCACAATAAAGTATTTGCAGCCACTCGAAATCAATCAACCTTTATTTAGACAGGTAAATCCCATTGAGCCTCGAAGACTCATTTACAAGAGAGACCTGATTTCAACAAAGAAAGATGACAACAATGGACAACAGCAACAACAATAAACAGTTATAAAAAGTCATACTGCAGGTTTTTTTAATAATAAGTTTACTTTTTAAATAAGTGTGAATCGTGCAGTAATGCGGCACTTGGAGCGCTGTGGGAGGCTGGGATGACTGGTGGAGAGAAATCGTTTACCAAAACTGTCCGCATGCGCAGATCAAGCTTTGCTCAAGTCTGCCAGTGGATCCTGACAAGTGGATCCTGACAAGTGGATCCTGACAAGTGGATCATGACAAGTGGATCATGACAAATGGATCCTGAAAGAGGAGCGGTGTCAAAAAAAATCCTCCATCACCACCGGGTTTAGAAAAGTAGCTGTGTGACGAAGAGGACGGCACAAGCTCAAGGGCGCAGTGCGCAGGAGGAAGATGAAGATGGCGATCAATGACTTCCTGGTAGGGGCTTCTGTATTTTATTTTATTTTTTACCAGCTTTGTTACAGGCACTGTTCAAAAATAAACATTTACTGTACATATTTGTGTTTGTTACCGGTACGTATTTAATTAAAAGTTTTTAAAAAAAATCTTTGTGTAAATATCTCATGTTACAACGTGGACACCCGTGGCTTATACACAAACGCAGTTTATATTTGTACAAAATTATTAATTTAGTGAGTACGACTCATATTTGGGTTCAAGGTTCTTTGTCATTCACGTCACATGTGGTACATGAGGTGGAACAAAAATGTGTACTCAAGGTCCCAAATACACCCAAAAATAGAAAAATATAAAGTATGAAAATAAAAAGTACACAAGGATCTAAGATATACACTAAAAGGTAATAATATAACATAATACGGTGTATTAAACAGCAGCCTGAACATGAGTCTTGTGAGCAGAGGGGTGTGAATCCAGCAGCTCAAAAGTCCAGAAATTACGGTACTTTTAATTTTTTTTAATTGATTTTTTTTTATTGTATGTACATTGTATTTTACATGCAATGTTGTAAAACCTTGTGCACAGTAATTGAGCCAAGTTAATAAAACATGCGAAGGAAGAAACCCGCTCATGGTTTAATTTCACGCCGTGTTTCTTTATTTTCCTTGGTGTCCGTGGCTGATGGGAAGAACTGGGCTAATTATAAACACGACTTCTGTCGTGTCAGCTTTTGTACGTTAATAACTGCAGACATTCAGAGATGAGCTATTTCAAAGTTGTTCTCTCATTTGTTTATGAGCAGAAACACAAGACGAACCGGAGCTCCATTTTCAGTTTTACCAACCTGTCTGCGCCGTAAAGAGGCCGCACGGCGCCACAATCCAGCTTCAATAATTATTTTGAAACTGAACTCTGAAACAAAGAAGAAACAATCCTGAGGCTGTGTGTTAATTAAAACGCTCACAACTGGCAGGACAGATAATGAACTCGTCTGCAGCTCAGAAAACATCAACTAGGCTAAGATTCAGCCTGAAACCATGGCAACACGCCGTAATCCTGAGATTTACCAGGAACCCAGCAGGTCTGAGGCTCCGTGATCATGGCGTGTTTGCTCCGTGTTAGGCCACTGGCATGTTGACACAGATCATTAAAGATGATTTCTGTCTTTGTTGTACATGCAGGGATGGACTCGGGGGCGTAAGCTGGGTCTCAGAACTCTGGTGGTGGTGGGGGGGGATGTGCACACGCGCGCGCATGTGTAAGACACTTCAGATGTGACCAAGCGTCTGACTGTAAGCGGCGCTGATCAGGCTCGGAGCGAAGGCGTCGGGCCTTTTCTGCTGCATCTTCACATGTGGTCTCATTTTGGCTCCAAACACACGGCGTCTTGGAGCAGGACGAGAGCGTGGCTCTAAAGTCGTCGTCGCTCACAGTATTTGTGTATCCAGGTTGTCTGCAGCTTCGTCTTGTGCTTTGATTTCCCTTCATTAAACCCACTGAAGATGTTCAGGTGCTCAGTCTCTGCTTTACTCCAGATTATCGTGGAGTCGGACTCAGTTCTGAGTCTGTTGGTGGAAAGGAGAGACGTCTCAGCCGCCAGCTTCTAGATTCAAAACGATTCGTGTCCAGTTCCTCTTCTAACTGCCTCTGCGTCAAAACTCTTTAAAAATCCACATCTGCTGCTTTAACTTGAACTTGTTCTGTGGACTGGTAGAAATCAAATCATCCCTTTTTTTGTTTTTTGTCTGCTCTGCTCCAAAAACTCACTAAATGTAGGAATCACGCTTGATACCATTTTATTGGAAGTATTTACAGATCAGACGGTTTTGTCTTTATCAAAAGGAAACCTCTCGTCTTTTCACGTCAAATGTTTTTTACTGTACAAAATTTAACATTTTATATTTTCAAATTACATTTTCAACTATTATTTTTATTTTATTTTTTTTCATTGACCCTTTATTTATCCAGGTTAGTCTCATTGAGCCACGAGAACTCATTTTCAAGAGAGACCTGTTTAGGGAGCACATGGTGGGGTTAAGGGCCTTGCTCATGGGCCCAGAGTGGGGCCAATGAGGGTGGGGGCAAGTGTGGGTGTTTCACCTACCCCACCCACAATTTTTGATGTTGTCGGGGCCGCGGCGTGAACCGGCGATCTTCGGATCACAAGCCCACCTCTCTAACCTCTGCGCCACCACTCCCCATTATACTTGTATTTATGGTAATTAGCCCAGAGTTGTATTTAAATGAATGCCAGTGTTTCCCCTACCGTATTATATTATAGAAGTGGGGCAGGACGCCCCGCGCCGTCACCAGAACAGAGCGCCCCGTCTACTGAACCAAGCACCACACACACACACACACACACACACACACACACACACCTGTCGGCACTGACGTAACGCTAAGCTAGCAGCTAAAAAGCTAAAGGCAGCCTCTTCCCTCATGCTGAACCTTCACGTTGAACCCCCCCACTCAAAAACTATCGGTACAAAACACTGTACGTAGGGCTGGACGATGTGACAAAAACTTTTATCACGATGTATTTCTCAATTTCTTTCCAACGATATAATTCCGATATCGATATAAACGATATAAAGGCCTCAGAAAAACTTCACAAACTGTACAAATAAATTAATGTTCACCTTTTAAACGTTGGGACACGTTGGCTCAAACTTTATTGTGCTTCATCTTCTGACTCTCAGCATCTTCTTTAGAGCGGAAGCTCTTCAGATGGAACGAGTCAGATGTTCCCACCGCTAGTTGGAACGACTCTCCGTCACAGTTTGCAGCGCACCGACAGACACCTGCAGTTTATCAGATCTTAGAAAGCCGAACCACTTCCACACCGCAGAATTAGTCTTTCCTCTCATCGGTGATGTCATCTGCTTTCTCTTCGCTTGTGACAGCTCGTTCAGCTAGCCTGCTACCGCTAATGCCTTCTGGACACGAGCGCTGCGTAACATCTGTCTCACCACGCACTTACCAGTTGTGTCGTGGCTTTTTCTGTTTAGGTTGAAGCAGAAGCAAAAATGTGCTTAAAACTCATATCACTGTTCTAGAACAAAAGTATATTCTGATAATTATCGATATCGAATTATTGTCCAGCCCTAACTGTATGCATTTATTGGACTTTATTTTAGAGCATCATCTTTCAGACGACTGTACGAACAGAATCTCACTGTATTTCAGTACAATGATAATAAAGTTTATTCTGGTTTATTTTGGTATCTTGTGTTTTTACTTGCTTAAAGACGTCAGATGGAAATTATTGGAAACTAACCTATCGTTACTGTTGATGGTCCCAAATAAATTAAGGTAAAGTTAAATAATTGACAGATAGTTTTTATGTAACAGAAAATAATGAAAACTATCTTTTTTTTTAACCACGCTCTAAAATTATTTAAATTTAACTTGAAGTGAAAAAACACCCATCAGACCAATTTAACCAGTAAAACCCAGTTCCAGCTGCTAATCCAGCAGCTGTAGAACCTCCTTCAGCAGCAGAACTCTGAGGTTTTCTGCAGGACGTTCTCAGTCTCTCCCCTGGTGTTTGACTGCTGTTCGTTCCACGCTCAAAGTGCTTTCTGCTCAGCTCTTTTCTGAGTTCATTGCTGATGTTTTCCGTCTTGGTGTTGTAACAACAACAGATCCTGGCAAAGCTGCAGGACTGAAACCAGTTTTTCACTCCCAGATTAACTTTTTGTTTCTGGTTAATTAATAATGACTCAGTGGAATCTGTTGGGTGTTGTCGTTCACTTGGTTGGGTTCGAGTCATTCAGAACTTGAAGTCCAGATCAGTTTGGTCCTCGTATGAACAGATGGAAGACTTTGTTTTTCTGTGACTGAGATGATGAGTAATAAAATGTAGAGCAAATATTTTAAAGCTCGTCTGTTTCTGTTTGGTTTGATTCTCGCCTGATGTCCTCCTCCTGCAGGACTCTCCTCTGAAGGCCGTCCAGATGCTTTGGGTCAACCTCATCATGGACACTTTGGCCTCTCTGGCTCTGGCCACTGAACCTCCGACGGAGTCTCTGCTGCTACGTAAACCGTACGGCCGTGACAAGCCCCTGATCTCCCGGACGATGATGAAGAACATCCTGGGCCACGCCGTGTATCAGCTGATCATAATCTTCACTCTGCTCTTCGCTGGTGATTCAACAGCTGATCCTTCATATGTTCAGAACACGTGCAGAGACATGTGGACCATCGTTGACCTTTGTCTCCAATATTTTAATTATTTTTTCTTCATCTTTCTCAGGTGAGAAGTTTTTTGACATCGACAGCGGCCGTAACACCCCCCTGCACTCGCCTCCATCCGAACACTACACCATCGTTTTCAACGTCTTCGTCATGATGCAGCTCTTTAACGAGATAAATGCCAGGAAGATCCACGGGGAGAGAAATGTGTTTGAAGGCATTTACAGAAACCTCATCTTCTGTGGTGTGGTACTGGGGACCTTCGTCCTACAGGTAACTCCATCATCACTTCAGTAAAAAATAAGCTTTCAAACTTTGTTCTGTCTTGTCCTCTGATGATGGACAGATGGAAACCAAAGTAAATGGAATACGCTGAAGTTTGAATTTCTGGTGAGAGGCACCGAGCTGGTGTGGGTCTACTTTTAGCGCAGCCGAGTGGGCCATGTTCCGCACCAATGGTTGAAGTGGCTGCCTTGAGCTGTGGCCGCAAGGTTGTCGGTGCTTCTCGCAGTGGCCGTCCTGGAACTTGTTGGTGAACACGGCAGGCTGTCAAGCTGAAGGAGTCCTATCAGACCTTGTTGGCTGGTGGGTCTCCGGAGGCAGCCGAGGAGTACCGCAGGGCCAAGCGGTCCGCAGCCTTGGCTGTTGCTGAGGCAAAAGCTCGGATGTGGGAGGAGTTTGGTGAGGCCTTGGATAGGAGTCTTAGTTGGCTCCGAGGAGATTTTGGCAAACCATCAGGCGGCCGAGGAGGGGAAACAGCTCTTTACTAACACTGTTCAGTGAAGGTGATGTTGACCTCAACCAGTGATGTCATCAGGAAGTGGAAGGAACACTTCTCAGTCCCACCAGCACGTCTTCCATGAAGGAAGCTGAGTCAGGGGACCACTGTTTTTGATGAAGCACAGGAAACCGCAAGAACACACACTAACACCACAGAGACGTTTTGTTTCTTCTCAGATCATCATTGTTCAGTTTGGAGGGAAGCCGTTCTCCTGCCACCCCCTGACCATCGACCAGTGGATGTGGTGTGTGTTCATCGGCGTGGGCGAGCTGCTGTGGGGCCAGGTGAGCTGCTTTAACTGAGCTGACGGCTGAACTGCTCACAGATCTGTGTCCACACCATGAGCGGGGTTAGGATGTGACGTTTCTTCAACCTTTTTCTGCGAGTAAGACACTCGCGCTGCTGCAGCGTTGCCATCGCAACCATCGGCATGGAAATAAGCTCAGCACATGAAAGCTGTAACTCCTGTTTACGAGCAGAGAGAAGACGAGCCCAGCTTGTTAGTCACGCACACACATGATCCTGTTAACATGATTACATGAACAGACTGAAAAAAGGGGTTCAGATGAGCTTTGGGTTCAGTTTGAGGTCAGAACTGGGGAACAAAGAGTTAAAGAAGCTGAGAGATTTAATTCAAAGCTAAAAACGGGAAGACGGAAAAAAGGAGAAAGGGACAGAAATAAAAAACAATCTGCCACAAAACAGGAGGTGCTGTCTCCTCTTTTAAATAGGAATAAATGACCATCATAAAACTGAGAAAATAAACTCTTAACGTCAAATAATTATGTGATTAACCAACAAATAAAATAACTTTGAAAATGAAGGTAATCCCTAAATCTTTTTTTTTTAATAGATTGATTTTATGTACAAAAAATATTAAACAGTTTGTTAAAAAAAAACAGTTATTACCAACTAGGGATGCACAATATTATCAGCATGGGATCAGTATCAGCTGATATTAGTGTTAAAGTTCAATATCGGCCATTCCATCAAAAACAATCAACAATATTGATTGATACTGGATTCCTGCAGCGGCAGCACAACGTGACGACGCCACGTGCACTTACCTGATCTGATCACGGCAGAGAGGAAGAATTCAAAATGTCGGCGGTGTTGAAGGGTTTTTTTTCCATTGAGGATGTCGGATGCCGAAGATTTATGGAGTACGTTGAGTCTCGCTACATCGACCCCAGTCAGATATTTTTCCAACGTAGGCTTGCTCGAGTTACAAGCCGTCATTTCAGACGTCATTGAGAAGCTAACAGCTGATAGCACTTGAGTGAGTTTTACCACAGATATTTGGACTTCAAGTGTTAGCCTCGTTAGCATGATTAGTCTCACGGCACAATGGATGCACAAAAAGTTTAAACTTAAAAAGTCTGTCCTTCATGCACAAGAGTGCAGAGGATCCCACACTGCAGCTATAGGAACCTGGAACAAGCCTCCACAGGTGAGACAGCATCGCAGGTGACTAATGCTAATAAATAACATTTAACACTTTTCATTTAATATAAGTCAAAGTGCTCTGCAGATCATATGGCTGTTACTGAATATGACACCAGCTCTTACAGCTGTTGCACAGATTTTGTAGCAAATAAGCCTCAATAAGATGCTGTGGTCCGATGAAGGAACCTATATAAAATATGTGTCTGTTATCGGCCAAATAAGTTTTAACATATTGGATATCAGCCAAAAATCCAACATTGTGCATTCGTATTATAAAGTTATTTGAATAGATTTATTTTTAAATTTCAGGTAGAAAAAACAAAAAAAAACTCATCTGCTTTTTCATCAAATGAAATGAAGACCTTTATATAGAATATTAGGATTGGTTTAGAAAAGTCTCAGTTTACAGTAATTAAAAATAAAATAATCTGCGTCAGCATCTAAAAAATAATAAAAACTGGAGTTTCACCGTCTGTCTGCACCTCAGAAATTAGAACTAATGTTGATTTAAGGCCACAGATGTATCTTTATTTTGTGTTTTGAAAGGACTTTAATTTAAACATCCAGAACAGCCAAGTAGCTGCTGTGACCGTTGGAGACAAGTCAACATTAAACTGTTTACTCTTGTTTTAAAGCTACTCATTGCAAAGTCTTAAAGACCATCCAAATATTCTTTAGGTCAAAAATGAAACCTGCACAACATTTTCCTTGTACCCGTGCTTGAAGACGGCTGCTAAACGTTTGTTTACCTTCAACAGCCGAAGTGACTGGAAACCGGTTAGCGACGACGACACCCATGAAAGAGACGTTTGTGGTGGAGAAGTTTCAGTTTCTTATCAAAACATTCAGTTCAGAAGTCATTTCGGGGTTAAAACTGCCCTGTTCAGGATGAACTTTTTATTCTGGATTTTATACTTTGGATCCTTATAGCTTATAGAACATGTTTTATTTTATTGTCATTACTCTAATAGAAGTGATGACCACAATGTGTGCAGAGGGTCATACACCTGACAGCTGATTCAGATCTGAGCAGAGGGGGTTCCTGCGGTTCTTTAAACAAATTACTGAGTTTCTCATGTTCTTAACATGAAGACTAAAGGTTTATGATTTAACCTACTCCTCCTCAAAACACGCATCAGAGGAGAAAAACACCAGGTCACTCAGGTTTAAACACAAACCTTAAACCGATAGTAAATAACAGGGTTGACCTTTGACCTGACCTGTGAACAACTGTTTTGTCCAAACCTCAGCTGATCACATCCATTCCAACCCACCACCTCAAATTCCTGAAGGAGGCCGGCCACGGAATCACCAAGGAGGAGATCCACAAGGAGGAGCTGACGGAGGACATGGACGAGATCGACCACGCAGAGATGGAGCTAAGGAGAGGCCAGATCCTGTGGTTCAGAGGTCTGAACCGCATCCAGACACAGGTACGACCTCTGCGCCCCAAACAGCCCACTTATCACAAACTCCTAATGGTCTGGAGGCGGTTACCGTGGTAACTCAAGAGGCGTTTTGTTGTTGAAGATGTTCTCGTTATGTTTTTGGTTTTCTCTGTTGGTGTTTGTGGTTTAATGTTGTGCAGCAGAAACGACAAAACAAACGGCCCTGGTCGGCTTTAAGATTCAAAGATGGCCGCCAACATGCAGGTTCCTCTTTGATAACTTTCATCACCTCCATCTGCAAACACAACTGGAGGTTAGGAACATGTAAACTGACAGACAGCCTGATTCATCAGAGCTCAGCCTAACATCGCAGATGTCTCCTGGGTTCTGTTCATCGTTCAGAAATCTTGTTCTGAAAGAACCTCGTGGCCCGATTCATCCCGTGTTTGATGGGAGCCTCATTTCATCTCCTCTGCAACACAAACTGCTGTTCTTCAGAGAACAGAGGAGATCCAGAGTGTGCAGATTAAACCGGAGACTCGCACTCTGCAGCTGCAGTCCAGTTAATTTCACACTCCGCTGCCGATCTTCACCACAACCGTTTCATTAAACCACACGAACGTAAGAACGAGCAACGCAACGCTTATTGAAGATTATCCTCCAGTAAACCAGTCGATGTGCAGGAAGGACGTTTCTGCTTCTTCCTGTTTGTTTTTACAGTAAAACTGAGTGAAAATGGACGATTCAAGTTTCACAAAACAAAAACCGGAGTGAACAGTTTTCTCTGTTAACCAGAAAGGTTTGGCCATGTTGAAGTGGGTTTCTTTGTAAAAGTTATAAATATCTCACCTGTTGTAGATGGGTCTTTGAACAACCTCGGTTTGGAAAAAAACAGTTTAATTCTGATGGGACTGATGAGCTAAAGGCTAGTCTGACTGTAGTTGGTACCAGATCGATTAAAAAATGTCTGTAGTTTCACTGTTCGCTGCTACTGTTCAGTTTTATTTTACACCCCATCCGTTTCACGTTACACGGGTGTTTTGACAGAAATGTTAAGCGATTCCAGCTCAATGTGACCCCAGGGTGTCGCTGCTGAGGCGGCCATTACACAGAAATCCACGTAAACAACCATGTAGAGTGGAGCTGATGGAAACGTTTATCAAACTGTTTGAGTAAATCGCTGGGAAAGTTTAAACATCATTTTAAGATGGCAACAATCCACTTAGCTGTCAGCTGTGTTTAGCCTAGCCTTTAGCTCATCAGTCCTGTCATAAGTGTTTTTTTCCAAACTGAGGTTGTTCAAAGATCTATCTACAACAGGGAAGATATTATTGTACATTTTTCCACGTTGGTATGACCAGATTCTATTATGATAAATTGATGTAAATTTATGAAAAATATGTATTTTTATTGTAGTTTACTTGTTAGCATCAGTCTCACTACTATAAATGTACTTTATAAAACTCCAGCTGAGTTTCTACCGAAATATAGATGTGTGTGTGTGTGTGTGTGTGCGTGTGTGTTCCTCCTCCAAGATCAACATGTCCTCAGCGTGTCCACAGGCAGTCCATTCAGTCTCTATAGGCCTCATTAGCCTTGATGCTAACGCCCACTTGCACAGAGATCAACCTGTGCACACACAGGTCAGGTGTTTTCCTCCGCAGCAGAGCAGCTTGTACTTACTGAGGCCGCAAGCTCAACACTGAATCCAGAAACATGAGCTGAGTTTAGCTTGCTGACGTGTAAAACAACAAACTTTTATCAGTACGTTTATTTTGACCCATTTGTCTCGGCAGGATCCATGTTGTCTGATTAAGACCTGAAAGTTCTGATTCCAGGATAAAACCAGAGAAGAAACCCAAACAGAGCGTCGGCCTCTTCAGACTCGTCACGTGTTGTAGGGAAATGACTTCTTGTTTCCTCTCCTGGTTGTGTCTGTAATATCACTCTGTCGTCCTCTTGGGACGGGAGGACGCAAGGATGGGAGGCGACAAAAGGCTGCAAGCTAATTAGGTTCTTATCTCTCCACGCTCCTCGTCCTGTCCTCCTCCTCTGTAATCCGGGTGGGCAGCGTTGCTCTGCTCAACGCCTCGACAGTCCGCCACAGTGGGGGAATAATTGGTACAAGCAGCAGCTCATGCTGAAACTTTATCAGTCATTCCAAATGACATTCCTCCTCCTGCTGCCTCCGCTCCTCTGTCAGAGTGATGCAAGGCTGATTCAAAAGCTCTTTATTTCCCGTTACACTTCTGCTTTTCATCCCTTCATTCTTGCTGAGGTTTAAATGAATTCTCACATTTTGTCACTAAATTACAGCTTTCCAACCATCTTTTTTCCTCCTCAGACTTCTTGACGTGAATAAATCAGCTTCCTCTTTGTTCTCATCCTCTTCCTCAATCTTTTGTTTCTCTTTCATTCTATTTTTTCCCTCCAAACAGTTTCCAAACGCTCACATCTGATTAAAGAAACCATTTTTAGTTTGTGGCATAAAATGTAAAAAAAAGAAACCGGTTGAGAAGAAGTCCTCTTTCTGTCCAACTGTATGTTTTTGTGACCTGATGTTGTTCTGATAAAAACATCTGTTTTCTAACACACTTCAGTTTACATGTTTTTCACCGGGTTTCTGATGACTCGCAGTATTTAAAACCTTTCATTCAGTCTACACGCCTCTGACGGTGTTGTCTTCTGTCCTGTCCTCTCGCTCTGTCTCTGCTGTCTAACACTGTTGTGGCTGTCCTCCTTCCTTCAGATGGATGTGGTCTATACCTTCCAGACGGGCCAGGCGGCAGTGCCCGGCGCCCTGCGCCGCCAGCCGTCCGTCGTCAGCCAGCACAATGATGCCACTGCCGCCAAAACTCTCTCTAGCCCCACCCATGTAGGGCTTAGCTCCTCCTCCTCTGTCACCAACTCAGCTGGGGCTCCGCCCCCTGCTGCTGCTTCCTCCTCCACTGCAGGCAGTGAGTCTGTCAGCTAACAGCGAGCTTCACGGGGCTGGACTCTGTCTCTGTTAGAACTGCATGAAGCGTTGCATGGCTCCGTGAGACCAGAACCATCTGTCCTCAGCCGCTCTGCATGTCCTGACACAAAACACAGTTGACTTTGAGTACCTAAAGTTTATGAGAAATAACTAAATTAGAAATAAAGCTGGTGTAATCTGTTGGTGTTTTTACTCTGAAACAGGAAATGATCCGTTAAAAGTCCCAACGATGAACGAATGTTGAGCTTAGAGCCCTGAGAGCTCCACATGACAGAATCTAAACAGAAGCATTGCTCCAAATGAGCGTTCCCTTGGTTTCAAACGTTCTGGTACTTTGAACGTTTTTTGTTAGAAAAGGGACATGCAGGCGGCCTGATCTGTGTTTGCTCCTGTTTTCTTCTGCTTTCCAAACTTCACTGCTGCAGCGTTTCCTCCATCTTAACCTCTTTACTCGTTTTAATATTGTTCTTCTCCGCCCCCACCCTCCCGACCCAAAGAGCCTGCAGCCCGTCCTCCTGCATGTTGTGACTATTTGAACTCTGAATGTTTCGACCCTGGTGAGACTTGCTGCCGACGAGTCGCCAACGGATCACAGCTGAGAAACAAAAGAGGCTGAATCTCTTTGATTCAGACAGTGAGGGAAATAAATCCTTGAATTTATAAATCCTTCCTGTTGTTGGTTCTGTTCCTCTGAGGCCTGGACACCAAGATAATTTTATGGGTTAATCCTGAGCAGGGTTAAATCTGTCAGGCTCTGCAAGTCTCTCGTGGTTTCTGGGCCTCGGGCTTTTAAAATGTGTGTTGGATGCTCTAAGCTGCATGAACGTCTTCAGCTCTCCTGGGCTTCAGTACCACAGAGCTTTGAACTGCAGCATTATTCATGATAATGAGGAGTGTCTGCTGGTGCGTATAAAGCAGTGTGATCAGCTGCAGCCTCGCAGGATTCATGAGAAAAGGACTTCAGGCACACAGAGGACACTGTGATTAACCAGCAAACGGTGAAAAGACTTTTACTCGATCAGGGCATCCTCTAAAATACATTGCTTAAATGTTCTCGTAACTAAACTGGCAACGAGGCTCTCATGTCGTAGTTTTTAGGGTTTGTGTGTTTTCTGCATTCAGACTGGATGTGCCGTCAGCTGTGGATCCCAGTTTTTGAACTCTTGTCCTTCTTGAGTCGACCCGTCTCCCAAGAACTGAGCTTCTAGATTCAGTTTAAAGTGTTCTGGTACCGCTTCAGCTCTCTGACCTTTTGACCCCCCGTGACCCTAAACTCCAAACAATCGTAACGGGCTCAGAGCAGAAACAGCGAAGGGATCTTACAAATGTTTTAAATATAACGCGAGGACAAAGAGTGAAAGATTTAAATAAAGTTTAGTGCTCTTCTAGTCTAAAAGTGCTTAAAATCAGTTTATTTTTGTTAAATGTGTATTTAGTAAACTTATAACTTGTGAGAAGAGCCTCTTGACAGTTCTGTGAAACAAAAAAGATTTTTATAAAGAAGTTTTTTGAGTTTATTGAGGAGCGACCTTCTCCCACCATCGGGCGTCGACCACCGGGCTCTCCTGTTATTTATTGATTTTAGTACCAATTGTTTTGACGTTTTTCAGTTATCCCCAGCATTTCTTGTCATTTTTTGTTGTTGTTGTTTTACTTGCTGATGTTGTGTTGTGTGGGTTTGCATCTCCCTTCCCAGATTCAGATGCACCTCAGTCGTGTTCCCATCAGCTGCTGCCTGTTTGACGTCACTTTCATTACAGTAGATCCTGCAGTTGTTTTTCTGCTGTTCTCTCACGGTTCTTCTCTGTTTGTTTCAGATTAAGGTGGTGAATGCGTTCCGTAGCTCCCTCTTTGAGCTGGAGAGCCCACAGTCTCGTAGCTCAATCCATAACTTCACGATCCATCCTGAGTTTGTGCCAGAGTCGGAGGAGGAAGCTCGCATCACAGAGGAGACGGGGAGTGAGATCGATCCCCTTCCCGAGGCCGAGTCTTAGGTCGGTGGAGGGGGAGGAGAACCACCCCAGCGCTTTCTCTGACAACCGAAACCCAACCTTCTTAACTCCTCCTCCTCCTTCATCAGCTTCCCGTCAGTCACTTCGAGGAGGGAAGTCCCAACTTTGTTCACTTTGCACCCATCTACTCCTCACACCATGTTCACCACTGTCCTCCACGTTATTCTCATACTGACTGTGGTGGTGTTCTGCCTGTAAGCTTGTTCCTCCCAGTCCCAACTGACTGATTTAGTTTTGTTATCAATAAAAGACACCAGCTCACTAATCGTTCTACCGCAGCTCTGTAACATGCTGAGTCCTACCACCATCGTGTCATCAGCAGACTGAATGAGCTGTTTGTGCTGAAACGTCAGGTGTCAGCGGAGTAAAGAGTGAAGGACTGAGTACACGTCCATGAGGAACCCCAGTGCTCAGTTTGTGGAGCGTTTCATCTTACTGCCAACAAGTTCTGTCTGTTTTCAGTTCGAGCAGAAAGAGCTCCACTGGAAACTCGAGTCCTGGCTCAGCTGTTTTCTCTGGCTAGGATAAGATGGCGCTCAGTCCATGTGTGATGACATCATCTATGGAGCAGTTGACTCAATGATCAACTGTTGGGGATCCAAAGGAGGAGTGAGGCTGGTTTTAATGTACCGTAACATTCATTAAATCACTAAATCAGGGGTGTCCAATTCTGGTCCTGGAGGCCACTCTCCTCCATATTTTACCTGTGTCCCTGCTCCAACACACCTGGTTCCATGGTTAAATCACCTCATCATGTTCTGTCTGTTAATCACTGAATGATTCAGATCAGGTGTGCTGGAGCAGAGAAACTAAGACCTGCAGGACAGTGGTCCTGGGGGAGCGGGACTGGACCCCCCTGGACTAAATGAATGTTCATCGATGGTTGACTCCAAGTCCTGCGAATGTTTAATGAGTGTGACACTACAGTTCTTCAAAATTGACTCGTTAAAAATTGTTCTTCCTCTTCGTGTTTCTATGTGTTTTTATTTTCTTTAGATTCTGCGATGCATGTGGAAGAACAGAATGTTTACTTCTCAAAATGACCAAACATGACTGCATCCAGAGAGGGCTTGGTTCTCATCTCATCCTGTTAGGGTTCTGGTTCCTTCTGTCCCCTTTAAACTGGCAGTGTCTGAGAAACAGGAGTGTGGTCCGTGTCGGTCGAGGATGGAGGTTTTGTTTCATTCATGTAGAGTCACGAGAACTTCTGATTGAACATTTGATTTGGACGGACATGTTTGTTAGTTTGTGGCTGAGTCGGTTCAGAGCTCCATGAAGGTCCTGTCTGTAGAGCCGAACGTCCAGAACATTCAGAGGACAAGAACAACCTGGCTGCAGGAAACATCGCTGAGCTTCACTTCAGAACACCGGTCCAAGTCGGTCTCGACCTCAGACCTGTTGACTTGTTACACATTCACAATGATGAGCTAAAACTGACAGACCTTCACAGCTTCATGCAGGTGACCAAAGCATCTCGCTGTGAGCCAGGCACACAAAGACCCTGATGACCCTCAGGAGGTGTGTGTGTGGGGGGAGGGGTTGACCTGCCTGTGAGTTTAGCTGCAGATGCAGTTTAAAGTATGAAACTCCACACTACAGTTTTGAATAGAGTTCTGGGTCTGCCCCAGGGTCCTCCTTCCAGAGCACCTCAGCTGCTGGAGATTCTGAGGCTGAGCCCATCTAACCTACACAGGAGGCTCATTTCAGCTGCTTGGATCCAGGATCTGGTTCTTTCAGTCCTGATCCAAACCTCGTGGGCACGGGCGAGATCATAGATGGACCAGTAAATCCAGAGCTTGGCCTCTCAGTTCAGCGCCTTCACTATGACAGACTGGAGCATCACCCTCATTACTGCAGACTAGGCCCTGATCCTGTTGGTCCATCTCTCGGGAACACGACTTCCGTATACTTGAACCTTCATTTCTGGTTCAGGTGTTGTCCACCTCCACCCGTCGACACAAACGAACACCAGGTCCTCTGAAGTTCTCCTGTAGCTGAAGAACGTCCACGTTTCAAACTCTGTGCAGGAAGTTCAGTCCAACAGACAGGAAGTAGATGGAGCAGTCTGGACCGTGTGCTTGTGTGTAGGTCGATCTTAGTGTTTCCTCGTTTGTCAGGTGTAGAATCAGCTGTCAGTGACATCACACGGCCAGGCGCGAGCAGGCGTCCCCTCATCTTCATCACTGCGTCGCCGCTCTGCTGTGTTCGACAGGCGTCGCTGTCGAAGCCACGCTGAGGTTTATGGGAGACTGATGATGTCACCAGTCAGCCCGTAGAGTTAAATCCACTGTGTCCCCACCGCCGCTCGCCGCTTCCTGCTCCATGCGGTCCGCAGGTCAAAGGTCGAACAGGACGACTCGTCCTGCGGTTAGAGGCAGCGGCGTGTTTAATCCGACAAACAGCCATCGAACCCGTCACTGAAACAAGACACTGAGGTAACGTGCTACTACTGCCATACTTCCAGCGTTCGTCATGACTCGGTTATTCTCCCCCTCAGATAACTTTTTCTATTTACTCAGAGCCATATTTTATAGGATGTTGTTTTGTCATTGTTGCTGAGCTCTTACCCCCCCCCCCCCCCCCCCAACATGACCAAAAACCAGAGAAATCTTCAGTTGTCACTGCCGAACCAAGTCTGAAGGACCTCTACAATGTTTACATGAAGCGAGTCGTTGGCAGTTCGCCTTCATCCCACCACTTCCCCTCTCATTCCCTTCTTTAGAGTTATTATTCAACTATCTAAAGAGTCTTTCTTGCATGGTTTTCATATAAAACTCAATGTTTTGCTCATTTTTTACAATTCTTCTGTATTTTTATATTAAGTACTTTATAATATTTTGGAGATCTATGAATAAATCTGTATAGGCTGATGAGTTTGGTGACAGTACCGTACATGAATGAGAAGAATCTGCTGTAGACTCTTGTCTTTTTGCAGCTCTGAATATTTCTGCCACGTGTGTCGTGTTGGTCACCTGATGTTAGGGCTCCGAAACCTGCAGTGACTTGTTTACTTCCTGTTCACGTAGACAGAATCCTAATCTAGTCTCATCAGCCCTTTTTTACATAAACATCATTACTTTAAGATGTTGTGACACCAAACACTATGTGATTTACCTACATTAGAGTGGAGCAGCTAGATTTCGGCTGTGCTGTGGGAGTGTACAGGTATTTATCCAAACTTTGGCTTTTTGTTTTCTCTGTAACTCAAAGCTTCACCATCAAACATCTTGAATGAGCGAGTCAGTGCTGTTCTGCAGCGGCAGGTGACGAGTCGCAGCTGTGTCCTGATTCAGGCTCCGCCTCTTAGAAAGGGGGCGTGGTCTGACGTCCAGCCCACCCCTGTGCAAACCGGTGAAAGTAAATCGGTCCTGAAGTCTAAACGTTTCAAACAGGACCCAACACGGAGTCTCATTTCTAAGTTTTATTTTTGGATTTTAAGTTTCCAGAGGAGACGGTGAAATATTTGATTGTTATGAATTATTTTTTATAAACAGATGCTGAACATTACAATAGAACGAAAACTGTACAGATCAAATATTTAATGCTAGTGCAGCCAGGACCAGATAGGCCCAGACCCCCCCCACACACACACAGCCTGAAGGGCTAGGACTGAAGGACTTGGACCCGGTCCCTCATGTGTGGACAGTCTGGGGGTTGTAGAAGACGTTGACTCTCGTCTCAGTTTGATCCATCATGACTGCTACATGTGCTCACTAGCATGTGGCTAACGGTCTGTTAGCAGAAACTGATCCACCGGGGTTCCCGGGTCTTTGTTTCCCTACTGTCCCTAGTTTAGCTGCAAACAGAAACTTGAAGTCTAAAACCAGAACCCTTTGTTTCTGTTCAGGAACCGTCTCTTTCTTCTGACCTTTAAAGGTCAAAGGGTCACCTAAAAACCTGGAAATGGGACCGACTCTAAAGACTTGGACCTGGTCTGGAGACTCACCTGATGAGTTCTGGACCCGGGCCGTCCTGGGTCTCCTCTTTATTAATTGGACAGGTTTTAAATTCTGACCAAAGACGTTGGAAACCTAAAACGTGACCGGGCCGGCCCGAGCCGGGACACAGCTGCAGAACTTTTAGAAACTGTTCCTGAGAGGAGAGCGGGACTGTTGAAGCTCTCATGACATCACTTCCTCTTCCTGCCGAACACCTGCGTGTAAATACCGTCCTACCTGGAGAGGGGGCGATCAGCCAATCATCACCCACATAGCTTTAACACCCCCGGCTCAAGATTGTCCCCCTGCTCTTGCCGTAGTCCCGTGTGGCTCAGCAGGTGCGTCGGGCTGCTCGAGGGCACGCGGCGCGGCCCGCGACCCGTTCCTCTGGTCCGACAGCCCGGACTGAAAATCTTCACCTGCTTCTCTGACGTTTAGTTTTTATTTCTGGACCTGAAAAGACGTGGGCTTGCTGCATCAGGACTCGAGCAGCGCCACCGTCACGTTCTGACGGCGCTGCTTCCTCCTCAGAACCACTTCCTGTCGGCAGAGTCCAGAACCGTCTCATCATCTTCAAAGCTCCAAAACAAAAAAAGCTTCAAACTGGAACATCAGAGCAGGAAGCCAGAAACACTTCTCTGTTTATATCCTTTAAATATTTATGTCTGACATGTGTGTGGTTATATATCAGATATAAATCTAAAGATATAAAAACTATTTTCTGCAAAAAAGACTGAAAAGGTTTTCGTTCCTGTAAAAACTGATCCAGTTCTAGGCGTTGGTGTTCTTTTGTACAAACATGATATCATGTATGTGGCATGCATGACGTATATTCAGACTTTGGTGGTTTAAAGCAATATGTCCAACCTGCTGCGACTGGTTCTGTTCTGTGTGACCCAAACACACACACAACCTCACACACACACAACCTCACACACACAACCTCACACACACAACCTCACACACACAACCTCACACACACA